TTATTTTCTTGTTGATTAATTAGTTAATGGACTTATTTTTTTTAACCCTATTAGTACTATCTTCTCATTAATTAGTTAGTTAATTGATTGATTGTTTGAGACTGGGTGAATCTGAGCTGTCACTCTGTAGCCTATGCTGGGACTATAAGTACGTGTTATTACAAGTGTTTATTAGTGTCCCACCAAGACCAATTTTCATTTTAGGTCTTAGGTATGTTTCTATGTGAATTCTGCAGACAGGCCTTCTTCTGTGGTTTCAGAAGTTTTCTTAGTGTTGGTTAACAGTATCTTCATGGTTAAATTGATAAAAACAGTAGTCGCAAAGCATTTCACATCACGACAAAACAACAAACTAACACGTCACTGGCGTGATCTTCGGTGAGATAACGGGAAGGATTCAGACATGGAAGATGCTCTTTCCATTGTTCGGTTAGTTCACATGGTTACTTGTCAAAAAGAGACTGATGGTGCTGCAGTAATCACTAACTATTAAAATAATAATCACTAATTATTAAATCTCAAGGCCAGTCTGCTTATGAACCATTTCTAATTTGGGCACTTTACTCAGACTCTGTGTATGTGTGTGTGTGCACTCATGTGTGTAAGTGTTCATGCACATATGCCACAGCATGCATGTGGAGGTCAGAGGACAATCTTAAGTGCTGGCCCTCCCCTTCGACTTTATTCGAGACACTGTCTGAACTACTGTGTTCGCCAGCTACTAGCTGGCTCTCAAGCTTCAGCCTTGCTGCAGGAACACTGGGATTACAGCTGTGTACTACCATGTCTATTTTCACATGGGTGCTGGGTGATTTGAACTCAGATCCTTATGCTTGCTTGGCAACTGCTTTAGTCACTGACCCATCTCCCGGTTCCTTCTTTCAGAGTTTTTGGGTGGACTTTAATCCTAAGTATTGATTCCGAAGGTCTATTTTGCTTTTGTTTTTGTTTGCATATTCTATGCAAAACCAGAGGGCAGATCGTCAGCACTGATTTGGTATTGAATTTATGAAACATATTTTGTAAACAGTCCTTTTAGATCTGACTGAGTAGAGACAGATGGGCCTCCTGGAGCTCCTTAGACAGGCGGGTCTGCTGGAGCTTCCTCTAGAGCAGTGGTTCTCAACCTTCCTGATGCTGCAGTTCCTTGCGTTGTGCTAACCCCCACCACAGAATTGTTTTCATTGCTACTTTGTAACTAATTTTGCTACTGTTACGAATCGCCATGTAAATGTCTGACATGCGCCCCCTGTGGCAGGAGAGAACCGCGGCTCTGGAATAAGGTAATATGGCGCCAGATGACTTGAGTATCTGCCCTGTCCTTCCTCAGCCACCAGGTGCCATCTCCCCATCTCTTTTATGGCACCCACCCTCAACTCCCTTTCTAGGCCAGCCCTAGCTCCTTGCCACTGTCCCCGGCCTCGCCTTTCATGCCTTTGAATGCCGTCTAACCTGTCCTCGCTCCACTTCTTCCTTTTTCTAGCAACCAGCACACAATTTACTACATAGTAGGAATCCCGGAAAAAAAAAATTACCTGGATGAATGAGTGAATGCACTATGAAGGCATAAGTAAATACATACTAGAAATTTGCACTTCAAATTCCAGGGGGCATTTCATTATGTATAGCCAGCATATAGGAAGAAAGCCTATGGTTTGAATGTGCTCCCTAATACCGAGAACAAAGAAAATTCTTTTCCATGTGGAAACACATATTGTGTGAATGTGAGAGTCATTTCTAACTGTATTGCACGTGAGCACAGAAATTTCCCAGGCTGCCCTTGCATGATACTTTGGCTCAGTGTTCAAGGGCATTTCCTTGATTTTTAGAATTTCTGGCTCGTGGGAATTGTGACTATAAGTCTAAAAGGGTGATATAAAAATGTAAGCCAAATTTGAGTTCTGAATTAAATGTGCTTGTACTATATACCTCAACCTGTGGGTCCAGACCCCTGTCGGTCAATTTGTAACAATGAAAATATATCCTGCGCATCAGCTATTTACATTGTGAATCATAATGGTAGCAAAATTACAGTCATAAGTCATGACGAAATAATTTTATGGATGGGGGTCACTGCAATATGAAGAACTGTATTACAGGGTCGCAACATTAGGAAGGCTGCAAACTGCCTTAAACAGATGGTGTTAAAAATTTTCTTCATCTGAGAAAGAAGAAAATTTTCTTCATAGGCAATCATCAGCAAGGACCCATGGGCCAGCCTGGGCTAACTAAAATATCGTGCCTTCTGGTTGGTTGTCGTCAGGGTTAGGGCTAGGGTAAGGGTTAGGATTAGGGTAAGGGTAAGGGTAAGAGTAAGGGTAAGGGTAAGGGTAAGGGTAAGGGTAAGAGTAAGAGTAAGGGTTAGTTTGAGAATGAATATGGTTGCTAAGCACAATCAACCACAGTTAAGCCAGCCCTTGAGTTTGACAAGTTGGAAACAATTGTGCACTTCCTGCGAGATTAGCCTATAAGCCTATAAACTATAAGCCCGGAGCCACTAGCAGCCATCTTGCCAGTTCCTGCCTGAAAACTGAGCCTTGGGAGAGAGGCCCAGGATGGAGAGAGACACACAAGGCAACAGTGAGCCCATCACATTCCTCGACTCTCTCTGAGCCATTCCCAAAGATAGGGTAGTTCCTGGGCAGGACCTGATAGGCCCCTTTTGTGCATCCATGGTTTGAGTTTGGTTTTCTGTCACAGGTGATCAGAAACAGTTAAGGGGTAACAGTCCTGGCTCACACAAGGCATTCTGGGAAGGCCCGACTTCCCGTAGCCAGTACTCCTGCAGGGAGATTTTCTGCAGTGTGAGGTTTCTCTTTAAGGGCCCTTATTCATGCAGACAAGCAAGAGCAGGTGAGTGGCTGCCTAATGGTTTTTTTGATTAGCCGGTTCCAGCGGAGTTCAGCTGGACCTCTCCTGGAAGCCTCCCTCACGCTGGCTTTCCCTTGCGCCATTACTCACCAGGCTGGTAAGTCAGCCATGCTGATTAGAGGCCTTCTCCCCAACAAATGGTATTTTTTGACTGCAGTTTTAAATATTATATCTCTGTCTTTTCTCTCATTTCTTTTATTTTCTGTCCCTACAGTTAATTTAATATGAATATGAACTTAGTTCTATTTAGTTTTCCTGTGTTTCAGTTTTGAACCCATAAATCAAAGGCCTGACTAACTGAGAATAATAATAATAATAACAACAACAACAATAATAATGATAATAATAGAATTCTGTTACCACATCTACAGTATTTTATAGTTACAGTATCATTTACTATTTCCAATTATGTGTCGGGGCAAGCATTGTCTCAAAGATTTTGTCAATCTATGTTTCCATATTTAGGAATAGAAGAAAGACATTTTACTATTTTTTGAAGAACATAGACATTTACTTAGCCATTTGCAAGGTTATGATCAGAGCAAATATGTGGATCAAATAAAAATTTCAATCATTTTAATCATTATACAGAAACAACTAAACGGACATTAGGAATACGGCACATGGAGTCAAGCAGAACAATCAGAGATTCCCAGACTCTGTCCAGGGTATTGCTCTCCTCTGCTCCACACGTCAGAGCTTCAAACACGTTGTGCTCCTCCGTGTAGAAAGTTGGGGAAAGCACAAAGCCTATTTAATCATCTAAAAGTGAACTCACAGAAAAACGTGTTACTTGATTTTCCAAACTGAGAAGTTTGCTAGGTGACCACGAACTCTGTGACTAAGAAGCTTGCTAGGTGACCATGAACTCTGACTGAGAAGCTTGCTAGGTGACCATGAACTCTGACTGAGAAGCTTGCTAGGTGACCATGAACTCTGTGACTGAGAAGCTTGCTAGGTGACCATGAACTCTGTGACTTAGAAGCTTGCTAGGTGACCATGAACTCTGTGACTGAGAAGCTTGCTATGTGACCATGAACTGTGACTGAGAAGGAGCTGGGAAGGTCAACGGGAGCCAGCAACAGGCAACTGCCCTTCATCAAGGCTGAGCAATAGGCGGGGGGGGGGGGGGCGACGGCGGACGGTAATGGCCCGGAAGGATGGGCGGGTCCAGCCTTGGAAGCAAGCCTGTCTTACTGTGAACATCCTTCTCTAGGCTGGTGAGCACCTACATGAGTCTCCAGATGCCTGACTCTCTCTCGTTGCTTACCACAGCTCCTGACAACCCACTTTCAGGCATCTTTTGCTTTGACTTTTGAAGGGCTTCGAGTTTCAGACGCCCCTTCTGAAGGAGAGTGCCACAAACCATTTCTTATGACCAGGAGCAAAGCTTTGCAGGACAGAGGTTAGACATCTGAACGTGGGGAGTCAGGAGCCAGAGCAGCGCTGGAGCCGAGGAGAGGGCACACCGGCAACAGTGGGATGTGCACTTGTTTCACAACCACAAGATCTGTACAGGATAAAGCCAGCCCACAAGATCTGTACAGGATAAAGCCGGCCTGAATTCCAGCACAAATGAAGGGGAGGTGTGTTTTTAAGGCCCTTCCCCCTTACTTTGAGCTGGGAGAGAGAGATTCATTTTTTTTTTTTTTTGAGGCTGTAGCCACTGACAGATTTCCCATGTCCTACTGCGTATATTGGCAGCGTTAATTAGATGTTGAAGGGAAGTGGGGAAGCAGAAGGAGGAGAGAGAAAGAAAAAGAAATAATAATGAGGCTGGGAGACAGAATTTTGGGGCGACATTGGGGGATGTTGGAGAGGTGGATATGATCATATTTCATTGAACATATGTGTGGAACTCAGCTTAGAGATGGCCTCCAAGGTCATTCACATCTGCCCCAGAAATGTATATAAATGTGGCATAAGCCAGATGACCCGAGTGACCCTGGAAACCCACACAGAGGTGGATTGGGAGAACTGACTGTACTAAGTTACCCTCTGACCTCCGTGTGCATAACACAGCTCATGTCTCCTATCATATACATAGGCATACATACATACACATCATACATTTTTTAAACATTCTCCTAAACATCAAAGATTTAAAAAAAAAAAAAAACCATGCTTACCCCATTTGGATTGTTGAGCCCAGAAATGAGGGTATGCAATAATCAGCCGCTGCCAGTGTATACGGGGGCCGAGCGGCAGAATCATCCCAGTAAATATCCTTCTTCATCTTGGGCAAGCTCATGTGCATTTCGTCCACAGCTAAGAGGGAGACCTAAAACCGTTGTTGTATTGTTAGACCAGCTTAGATGGGAGGGGTTTGCGGCAGGTGGAAGTGAGTTTGAGGACAATGGGATACTGAGCGAGTATACAAAGTCTCAAAGACCGACGTGCTACAATGAGGCCACAGCAGGAGCATGCATGTGTTCTTCTCTGCTCAAAAACTCGGGGCAATGGTGTAAGCGGAGTGTGGAGCTGTCCAGTCTTCGTGCACCTCCTGGTCACCCTCTCTCTATATGCCCTGGCGTGGAGCTTCATGTCATCATCTACAAGGTTCCTTTCTCTTGGTTTCTCAGTTACAGTATTGCCTTGGTGGCTCCCAGATAGCCGCCATTCAACACCACAGAGCACAGAGAGGTGCATACTTTCTCTCAGTTCTCCCGGCTATAACCGACAAACACACCTCTCTCTCCCACTACTTCTTGTAGGCACATCTTCATCCTCTCTCTCTCTCTCTCCCCTTCCTTTCTTCCTTCCTTCCTTCCTTCCTTCCTTCCTTCCTTCCTTCCTTCCTCCCTCCCTCCCTCCCTCCCTCCCTCCCTCCCTCCCTTCCTTCTTTGAAACAGGCTCTCAGCACATATCTCAGGCCATCCTTGAACTTGTAATTCTTCTTTCCCAGGCTCCCAAGTGCTGAAATTACAGACTACACCACCAGGCCTGGCTAAAGGAGTGTATCAACAGACCTGTATCGCGGTGACAACCTCTCTGTCTTGGCTTAGGTAAAGTGACAAATAAACCATTAAGCCTCTGGGAATCCAGTTTTGACAGAGAGAGGGAAACATTATGCTTCTTCCCCGACAGACTGGCAGGGCTTCAAACAGATGGATGGGGTTAAGGCCCTTAGACAGAGGTTCTTAAAGCAGCCTTCCCTAGAAAGAGAATTCCCCCGTGCCTTTATGAGCCTTTATTAACAGCGCTGCTTCGGGGTAAGGGGCTCCATTCATGATTGCAGATGTGAGGAAGAAACCACTGCAGCCTCAGCTCCCACCCCACACAACTGATTACTGGGGTCTGTTGGGTTATGTTTAGGAATTCACAGTGGATTATGTCTGGATACCATTTTATATTACTGTTAATCTCTCCCAATGACAAATCAAAGTAGGTAAGAAAATGAATTATAATATCGCTCTGTACTAAACGGAAGAGGCCAGAAGATGCCAACAAAAGTTCACAGAGAAAATCATCTTGACTTAATGGCGCTAGAAATGAGATCCAGGACATTTTAGGTTCCGAGAGACACAATGCAGTGCATGGTCAAGGTTCTTCCATGATTGGTTAAAGATCTCAGGTCCGGAGTTGGGTAGTGGTGGCTCATGCCTTTAATCCCAGCACTCAGGAGGCAGAGGCAGGCAGATCTCTGTGAGTTCAAGGCCAGCTTGGTCTACAGAGGAAGTTCCAGGACAGGTTACACAGAGAAACCCTGTCTCGAAAAACCGAAACCAAAACCAAAACCAAACCAAACCAAAACAAAAAAGCCCCTCACGTCCAGGAACCTGTACCCAGAATCTATTTGCATGTGATTTATCGTTATTGTTCACAAAGAACAGAAAAGTTTCTCACCTGCAGGTTTCTGTCAATACACCAGTTTGTTTCAAAATCGTCATCGTCTTCTCCAAAAGGGTTGATCAGTTGCTCGGCAACCTGCAGTCGAGAACACAGTGCGTGTGAAGACGGAGAAGGAATTTGAGGTTGACCCTTGACCCCTGCTCCAGCTGTCCCTTCCCTGCCACTTTTGTAATACGCATCCTCCAGGGCAGCAGGCTGCTCTCCAGATGTTAATCATCCAGCAAGCCCCTTCATGGGCATGCTCTGCAGAGGGACCCGTCTGCTCATCTAGACAGCGCTGCCCTACCCCAGGGAAGCCAGGAGCTTCGTGGAGCCAAAGGAAGCCAAGTGAGTACTAAAGGCCATTAACTACACACAAGGCGTATGTTATATCGTCTGAGCTTTGGAGCAGCCTGCAAAGGCCCAGGGGATGACAGGAGGTTAAATGGTAATGAAAGACAAAATGATGAGACATAAACAATTCTGCCCAATAGCCAGCTATGAGACATAACTGCTAAGTGACTTCACCTGAGAGCAGAAACTGGAGACTAGACTAGTTTTACATTAAAGATTCACCCTTATCTAATAGTTCTGTTCTCCTTTGAACCATTTAACTGCTTTCTGACCAAGTATCATCTAACATTTGGTCTATACTAAATATTCATACCATATTTTTGGATGGAAGAGCCTTTTAAATGAGAGGCTTAGATGTCAAATATAACCTCTTTGAACAATTTTCTTTGATTTTTTTTTACTTGTGAATGTGTGTGTATGTGTGTGTTGGGGGGGGGTATCAGTTCCAGATGGGAAGAAAATTTTTAAGTGAACAAAATAAAGGTATCGTTTGATTAGTTTCTAGATCCTGAGACCATTTGGTGAAAACTCTACCCATTTGAGGTTGGGGAGATGTCTCAGTAGGTAAGGGTGCTTAAGCAGCAAACACAGGGGCCTGAGTTCAAACCCCCAGCACCCAGGTAAAAAGCCAGGCATGGTTGAGCATGCCTGTAACACCAGCAATGTGGGGCTGGATACAGGTAGACTCTGAGAGTTTCTTGCCCAGGTAGCCTAGTAAAACGATAAGCTTCCTATAGAGTGAAAAACCCTGTCTCAAGGCAATAGGGGAGGGAGAGAGAGAGAGAGAGAGAGAGAGAGAGAGAGAGAGAG